GTTAATTTCCTACCACTTTGTAACTCTGTGTTGTTTGTATTGTTCTTTTGCTATTTTGTAAAAGGTTGTCTGTTAATGTTTTCCTCCTTTTATTTACAAAAAAAAAAAAAAAAATATTGCATGTCTCTTGAGTTCCCAAAGAGGCAGTTTTTCAAGTTACAATTGCCTCTAGAGCCAGTGTTTTCAGTCCTAAGGAACAACTGCTTTGCCCAGGTGGTTGGAAGGGGGAAAGGATGAGACAGATTCCAGCTTCCACTACACACTGCACCCCAACAAAAACTAACACTTGAGATGGCATCCAGGACATCATGGTTCCCTTCTTCCCTAATGGTAAGTTCTCTCTTGTAGGCCTTCAATATCCTTTCCTGCCACCTAACTTCCACCAATGAGAGAGGTTCTAATTATGCAAAACCTCAAAATGGAATAGAGTTGAAATCCAATGCCTTGATAGTTGCCCTAGTACCATACACAAGTTGGGTACTAGTTGAACTAGTTGCCCTAGTTCCCATACACAAAGGAATTCTGGGGAAGGATGGCCATTGGCAAGCCAGGAGTTGATCTGATCAGTCATCCTTCACCATGAACAACAGGTACGCAAATGCCTTGTGTCTGCATAATAAAGAGGGCGTTCACTCAGATTCCTCCCCCAGAAATTGTGGGCATCTTGCCAGCTCTACATAAATTTCTAGGGTTCAGTTCTCAATTTGCATTTAGGCAATTCCTTTCACTAAAAGAATTTCATGTTCCCCATGCCAAGACTTTCTTAGTTAACAGTTAATTCTTCAGAGAACTTTGATCTGAAGTGATCAAACTTATACAGCATGCAACTGCCTAGGGGTGGAGTCTCCATATTGTCTAAGACGATCTCATGTTTTGATACAACATAAGTTGGAGTTGCAAACATTCTTCAAGACTTTCTAACATGCATGCTAACAGCTTTTCTGTTTATGAGGATATCTCTTATAGAACTGTTATCCTTGGAACAGTATATCATAAAATCATCCTCTAAAGGGCTGGGAAGAAAGTTAAACTAGTTTAACACTTCCTTTATGCCTCTCATTCTTAAAAACAACAAAACCTGAGTAACCATTCAAAATTTCAGGTAAGTTTTTATGCAAACATCTGTCTTACATGAAACATGTATAAGAGAAAAACAATATATAAAATTTTAGTCATACACTTTCAGCTGCTTTATAAGGTATTTTTTAAAATTCAAATAAGCAGAATAACTGTAATTATAGTTTACCATGTAGTAGGCATTGTTCCAAGTATCTTGCTCATATTAACTTATTTAATCATCCCAATACCATAAGGTAGGTACTATTATTACTCCTATTCCTACATGAATTTAAGCATGGAAGCACTAAGAAACATAACAAATGGAACCTGGTAAATTGACAGAGCTGGAATTGTACACCTAGGCATAGTCCAGCTCTGCAACATATGATCCTGACCTTTACTGGTAAATTAATTCTGGTAAATTAATTCATAATTCTGCTATGTCAACTCTGTTCTATGCTGTTTAACTTTGCACTGTGCAAACATTTCCAAGAATTAAAAGAATAATACAATGGTACCTCAGTTCATGAACCTGATTCTCTCCACAATTTTAATCACAAACAAAACTGAAGGAGAGCCAAAATACACTTCCCCATATGGTCAACATTGAACCTAACCATTGAATTTGATTCAGTTCTTATCCCACTCAGATTTTGGTTACTACCCTCACAAGCTCAGATTTTGGTTGCTGCCTTAATTAGAAAGCAACAGCAGTATGTACTCTCATCATTTTGAATTTTCTTCACTTTAACCCATTGTCCTGCCCATTATGCTATGCCGTATATCATACTATTATGTGCTAGTTTTATGCCAGAATCACACGACAGAATTAAGGAACCTCATAAACCTCAATCAAATCTCTATATTTTATGACTTTGAATACTGACATGTAAATAAGTATCACAAGGTTAATGATAAAGCACAAATAGCAAACCATGGCTTCTGTTCCTAAAATATGTTCATTAAAATGAGTTAAATTTGTGCAAATTCACTTCTATATTAAATTTCTAAAGAGAGATTTCTGTTTCAAGAAGTAAGACATTTCATGAATGTAATTATTATTTTACAAATTGGGGTAATCATTCACTGTTTTGCCACCAGGTCTATTATAAATCTTGGTACTTTGGTGACATAAGAAAAAAGCTGGCAAAATGAGCAAAAATCCTCTAGTTAATTCTATGGGCAAAATAGTGAGTAACAGTGATTTTTTTTTTAAGTTACAAGTTTAAACTGCATATGTAGTTAACAGGTTAATATTTACAGCTGGCAGTAGACATATCCAGGGTTAAAGTTTAAACTGATAAAAACAAAAGTAGCTAACACTGTATACTCATTGTGGCAAACTTTCTTCTAAGCAGGTTACATGTTTGGTCTCATTTAATTCTCAGGACAATCAGATGGAGATGACACCTTTATCTCCATTTTTTTGGTTGAGTAGCAATAGGGCTAGGAAATAGGGAAAGTAGGATCCTTAAGAGTGATATTTCCTCTTCTTGATGCTCATAGTTTGTAGAAAAATATAGATCGTCAATACTAAAAATTTCCATTGAAAATTTGAGTGATTTTTTTTGATGAGGTTGGGGATTGAACCCAGGATCTCAAGCATGCTAGGCAAGTGCCATACCACTGTTACACACCCGAGTGATTCTTTTTTAAAACCATAATTTTCCGTGCTGTAACATTTTATTTGAATAACTACAGAAAAAATGTGCTAGACATTTCAAGGATTATCAAAACTAATAAACAGAATTCTTATTCTCAAACATTTACACCAAAAAGAAGGAAAACATAAGAGAAATAAAACATAAGAGAAATAGCTGTAAAACAAACCAGGTTGGTTTGCACAAACAAAGGCATATTTATAAGCTACTAATTCATTCTGTTTAATTATACCAAGGACTTGTGTGTGAAGAAGTGAGAGAGGAGAACAAACTGGAAAGCTAGAATAAGGTCAGAGAGCAGAGTATGGTCAGTGCTTTAATAAGGAATGTAGACTTTATTTACCAGTAAAAAATTTTTATTTACCAGTAAAAAATTTACCTCCTTGCCAGAAAATTGCATGACCAAAGTTAGAATTTTAGAAGATTCACCTGACAGTTATTGGAAAGGAGACAAACAGGTCAAAAGCCAGTTGGGAGTAGGTGTAGGGAAGAAGCAATGTGATGTGGAAAAAAAGTAGCAATTGGGGATAGAGAGGAATCTGATTTAAAAAAAGATGGGGAAATTATAGTACCTAGGTTGAGTATAAAAATAAGGCAGAGGATTGTAAGTTTAAGTCCCACCTGAACAACTTAGCAAAATTCCGTCTCAAAAAATATTTACAAATACTCACACACACACACACATGACCTGGGTTGGATCCCCAGCACCAGAAAGAGAAAAGAAAGAAGGGAAAAGGAGAGAGAATTGATGACTCTGTATCTTGGAGTAAATGGTAATGGCTTTAGCGGGAGGTATGGAAGACAGGAGTATATGAAGCTATGAAAGAAGAGATGCTCCTTATAGTTTAAGTTATGTTGAGTCTAATAAGCCCATGACAATCCCAAATAGGAATGGAATTTTCATATTCATTTACTGATTGAGATTTTACTGAATGTCTACTACATGGACATCCTTTCCTTAAACACATAGGATATGTCAATTTCACTACAAGAAGAGTTTTCTATGGTGGGTTTTCTCATTTAAGAGAACATGATGAATATTATTCTATAAAACATTCCCAAACTAGCACAGTGGAAAGTTGTCACCTTTTTCTAAACTTCTGTGTATTTTACTGTCTTAACACTCATCAAGTGCTTAGCCTGTAGATTATATATACACTTTCCACAGCCCCCCATGTTAAATTTTTACCAGATTATTAGTGGCTTGAGAGCAGGTATTATTTTACATAATGTTTAAACTTCTCATGATACCTCACTCAGAATAAGAATTGAGTCATGCTTTAACTTTGTTATTTTCCGGTACTGGGAATCGAACTCATGACCTTGCACTTGCCAGGCAGGCGCTGTGCCCCTGAGCTAAATCCCGGCCCCCATGCTTTAACTTTTGATGAAGAAAAATTTTTTAAAAGACAGGTCTTTTGTTAGCGGACCAGAAGAATCAGTAACAATTCACATAAGGAACGCATAGCTACTATAAAAGGAGGCACAGAAGCTAGGTCTGTGGACCAGAAGAATCAGTAACAATTGGACCAGAAGAATCAGTAACAATTCACATAAGGAACACATGGCTACTATAAAAGGAGGCACAGAAGCTAGGTCTGCAATGGACTATGAAAAAGAGAGCTGAATAATGGCCAGGGCTAAGAAACTATTTAAAATCCCACTTTCAATAGCAACAGTTTTACAAACAGGTAGAGGCAGCATACAAACTTTAGCAAAGGAATACCCAAACAACAAACCCAAAGCAGGAACTAAGAGACCCAAAAGAAGCACCTCCAGGTTAGCGAACTTTAGAAACATTGATCCCATTCTGAAGGTCAAATAAATGCCAGTAAACATTAAAACAAAACTAAGAGGTCTAATTATTCTAACAAGTTTGCTTTTCCAGGTATTCTATGTTTGATGATTATTCCAACTGATACTGGTATAAGTATGAAAAGGAGTGTTGACATAATTCTACTAACAGGAATATGAAATATAGCTGATAACCCTAACATCCTACTGTATACATATAAATTGACAGGCACCATTATCAGGGCCAATAATGTTGATGTGCAAGTCATCAAAATGGACAAAGTGACATCTCCTAGAAGCAGAGTGAAGAGATAACCCCCACCCCCTCCGGGGTATGTGCAAGTCATGACAAATCCAAATGCTTGTGCTTTGGGCAATGCCAAAATCTGACACAAAAGGAAACCACAAAATGGCATCAGAAAAAACTGTGTAACTGCCCCAAGAAGTATTGGCAGAAGTCTCTTCCATACCATTTGAAGAGCCTGGAATTCAATCTTGCAACCAAAGGCACATTTATTTAACAGTATCATTGATAAAATAAGCATTAGGATTCTCCTATCCACATGCATTGATGCCTGGAAAAGACTGTCTTTTTTTGGTTTACTCACTTTGACTTTAACATTCTTTATTTCTTCAATGAGTTTTTCTTGCCTACCTTCAGGAACCCAGAGTTGAATGGTCAAATTTGTCTCTCCTTCTTGATCTGTCACTAGGTTGATCGTAAAGTTGGTAACATCTGATGAGGTTTTGGTCACATTCACCGCCTGCAGAATTTTAGGATCTTCTGTTTGCACAAAGAGGTGGCTGAAGTTAGCTTGTTTATCTTTGTAACTTGACCTGACAATGATGGCTTCTTCAGTCTTTGTGAAAAATAGTATTTTAGTCTTCTCTATATTCAGAAAACTAAGAAATGATTTCCTTGCTTCTCCCAGAGTCATAAACAACAGAAGTAGGATCATGAAAAGTTTTCTAATCATTTTAAAAGCTCAAACAAATCCTATAAGCCAAACCATTTTTTAAAAACGAGAGAACATTCTTCACACAGGCATTCAGTACAGGTTTTAGATTAACAGTTGCTCTTGTTAGACCAAAGTCCAGTAGGAGGCACTGCTGTACTTTTGGAACTAATATACGGCCACCTATTGAGTGGCACAACTTGTTTAACATGTAGGTAATAAAACTCAAAAGCCAAGGCATTTAATAGGTTTCATTTATCACAAACAGAAACCTAATTTATTTCCTCCTTACTTCCTCATTTCCGCTAATGGAAAAACAGCATTAAGAAAACTGTACAGCCCATATGCTTGGCTTCTGATAGTTCTATAATTTCAGTGATTGGCAGGCAAACATAAACCTGTTGTTGGTGTCTTTAAGAAGGAACGTAATTTTCTGGATGGTTACCAGATAACTTAAGAACATGGAGAGAGTAGGTAGCTTTATACTATGGTGAAAGGTATAGCCTGGCTCAGAGGTTGCTGCCACTGGACCTGGAACCCGACATAGTAGGGGGATGGAAAGACACTGACATTAATTTTGATGTCTTAGTTCTTCTTTGTAATACTACTTCCTCTTCACAGGGGCACGGACATTCACCTGACCAACTTAGGCCATATACTCTTCCTGTTCAGCCTCAGTTGCCAGGGATAAAGAACATCAGGAGTTTTGGACTTCAATTTAGACTCAAAATTGTGTATTTCCCACACAGGGGAGGCAGTTCTGATGCTAAACTGCAAAAAATAAGATAAAAACTTTTAACACCATAGCTTTTAGGCCTGCAATCCAGTAGTCTCTTAACACATGACCATTTCCGAAGATCCTTTAATGTACTAATGATGCAACCTGTTCAGTGTAATGAGGGTGGCTTTTGTGCCTCAAAAATTATCGAAGAAATTTTTATCAGAAATTTTTTATGTAGATTCATCTTTCAAACACAGTACTTTGAATATCATGATTTTTATTTCCATGTGATACACTAAGGAAACATTTGTACCAAGGGTGAAACCAGGGAACGCAACTGTTTCAGTGATATTTCAGTTAGAGTTCCTGTAAACTTCCTTAGTTTAAAATGACAAATTTAAAACATAAAACAAGGCTATTGTTACAGTTATGTGACCAAATATATTTTTTGAGTCAAATTCTCACTATGTTGCCCAGGCTGATCTCTAATTGAAGTCCTCCTGCCTCAGCCTCCTGAGCACTGGGATTATAAGCATGCACCACCTTGCTTAGTATGTGATCAAGTTTCTTAATTCACAAATTGGATCCAAGACAATAAGTATATAGCTCCCACTCTTTAACCTCGGATGCCTGAATCTTTTTCCTTTTTCGGGTTCTCCTAAGTCATTTCCTTATCTGAAAACTGCAGGAAGAAAACCTGGTAAATCTAGGAAAAAAAAAAAAATCTGCCAATCTATCATTCACATGCACTTTCTGTGTGGTTATTTAAATCGAAATTTATTTGTATCAGTGTTGTTTCAACTGTTTATCTACATTTAACCCCTACCCCACTTTGTGGGTTTCTACTTACAATTGTAGCTGTTTGCAAGCAACAAGAAAGACTAGGGTGAAATGGGGACAGTGAAACCCTAAAATTTCATTAGTCATATGCAATAGGAAGCCAAAAAGAAAACCAGAGAACACTGTCTGATTTCAGTGTACTTTAAAGAGATGGAGGGACTGAGATTTTTTCTCCCACACCTTGCTGTCTTCGGGAGACTGTGCTGAAGCCATGAGGCTTTGTACTGAGAATGCTAGGCCTTGTATACCCTCCAACCTCTGGGACATCACACCCTCTCTGCAGGATGCCCACGGACAGGTGTCCTTTCCTCCATGCAGTTCTTTCCCTTTGCTGTTTCATCATTAACAGGAACTCTTTTTTATTCTGCATAGGTTTAAATCAATCCCTGCTGGGCTTACTCTTTGACTAAACAGTTACTGTTTTCCCTGCATATTTTAGTTTAGTTATGAAATATGTACATGTAACTGTGATAGACACTAAGGTATTGGTTTGTATTAAAATGTTCTTGTATCTAAGTTTATATTTAAAGATTATAACTGCTTGTGTTTTTACAGTTTTTGGTAAAAGAGCTATTGAAACATAGCTATACTCTTCATCACTTTTTTGCAACTTGTTTTGTATTACAGCTATAAATACATATACATGTCTTCGTTGTATCTATCATCACAATTAAAAAACAATCCTTACAATTAGTAGGTATTCAAACAATTATGTTAATGGGTGAATGTATAAGTATCCTGATAAAACCTGAAGTCATTACCATTCTTCACATGAGAATATGAATAAGAAACAGACCAAATGAACCTCTGAGTTTATTCCTGTAAGTAAACCCTAAGTCACTGTACATGTCAATTACAATGAGAACAAGGGACAATGAACAAATAGAAAGAATTTTTATCTTCCTATATAGTGCTTTATTGGGTACAGACAGAAACCACTAGTCAGGAGCATTTATTTCAGTTTATTGGTAAAACGTTGTTGCTTTTGACATATAATTTGCTTTAATATAGAGAGACTGTAATGAAGATGAACTATCCCATCTTTCTTCTCATTTGTAACACATTCATACAAACAAAAGATGAGTCCAACTTGAGGAGGTTCTTTATCAGAAATTTGTCCCAATGCAGTTAGGTGATACCAAGAAAATTATGTTCCCATCCTAGGCCTGAGAGTCTTCATTCAAAAACTTAGAAAATTGAATGATATGTTCTCTTAGTTTCAATAATTCATTTAAACATCAATTTATATATACATCATGGTGTAGGTAGATAGTAAGGTTATACTTTAGACCCTATAATACTAGGCTTGACGATGTGACTCTTTTGAAATTCAATGGAAACATCTGCTATTTTCTCCCTCTGCCAAAAGAATGGGAAGTACTGTCTCGGCTACTTTTCTCTCATTGCTGGGACAAAATACCTGATGCCCAAAATTAAGGAAGGAAAGGTTTATTTCGCTTACAGTTTGTGGAGGTTTCAGTCTGTACTTGGCAGATTATAAGGCAGAGTGGCACATGGCAGAGGGCTACAGCTCATGGTGTCCGAACACAGCAAAAGCAACAAAACACAAAAGCCAGGAATGGCCTCAAGCACTCTTTTCCTCTCCCTTACCTATGCAAACTATCCACCCCAGGGTGGGTATAGCTCTCACACCTCAATCAACTCTAAAAGCCTGCCCCATGGCCGCATGAGGCTTTAGGGGGACACACAGACAAACCATAACAAGTACTTAACAGGGGGTTGTTTTGCAGCTTAGAGCCTGAGGGGAAAATGACATGGATCACTGCCATAGCCAAGCAATAGGTGACATTAACCAAATGTATGTATATGTATATATCAGTATATCTATACTGATATTTCCAAAGTATAAACTAATAAAAAAGCTAAGTAAATATAAGAATTTGCTAACAATTACTAATATAAAGTTTAAAACACAAAAAATCAAAGTTAATAGAAAACTGATAATGTAAACTATGACACAATGGAAATACATTAAAAAGCAACTTTGAAAAAATAAATAGTATCTGTGGTGAAAGAAACTGACTAAACAGGTACATAGTATTTTCCTTGTGATTTCTGCCTTAGCCTTTGACTATTCTAAGTAAGAATCAACATTTTTTAAAGACTGTTCATTATCATTTAGATATTCCAAAATAATACTTCCACCATTATATAAAGGACAATCCTCCTTAGCAAGCCAGGTTTCCAAAGTATGATCCAAGGGTAAGGCTTCTCCTGAAGATATATGACACAACCTTAACTTCTGTTGAGAGAGAAATAAAACCACATTATAATAAGCAAACATTTTGCTTGAACAGAATATCCAGAAACTTCCAGGGAAAACTTTTATGACTAGATATTACCTTAGCTGCTAATCTGTTATTGTCATTTTTAAGACTGGCAAGTGAAGCTGCAAAGTCTATGGCCTTTCCAATGCTCCATCGGTGGCAAAAGAACATAGGTTTGCTCTTGTCTTTGCTCCCCTTAGGTAAGAAAACTTGAAAGTAAATTCTTTCTGCCTGTAAAAACAAAAGGTTAAAATACAGATTGTATAAGAAGTAAAACCTCTGTTTTTGTCTGATGATCTCCCTTTTCTTCTGGTCAGAGAAGGATTACCATTTGCTGATGTAAGTTTCAATGGGAAGACCAATCATAGTATATCGGTATCCACCTAAATGCACAGGAAGAAGACCCAAGACCCTGGTGAGAGTAAACTGTTTAAAGATAGGTACATATGTGACTTAACCTGGGCAAAACAAGGTCTTTTCCTAAGATTTTAAGTTCAAAGACTGGAGGGAGCTCTCTTTTTTTTTTCTGAGTTTGTTTAACAGGGTCTCCTTATGTAGGCCGTGTTGGCCTCAAACTTGTGACACTCTGGCCTCAACTTCCTGAGTGGTGGGATTATAGATGACACCACCACACCTGGCTTTTTCTGAGTTTTTAAAGTCCTGTTGACTTACATGTGAAGTTGTCTGTCATTAACACTTATACCCCTTAGCCACTGCTGAGTGTGGAAAAAGTAGCCTCAGGTTGGAAAAAAATGAGTTCAACATACAAAGCGAGAAGTTAAGAAAATGGATGGATACTTTTAGCATGATTTGAGCCCCTAAATTGGGTCATCACCCCATTCCTTTGTATTTATTGTTTTGACACACGGTCTCCCTAAATTACCAAGGTTGGCCTCAAACTTAGAATTCTTGCCAGTTTCCTGAGTATCTGGAATTCCAGATCTATACCACTGTGTCCAGCTAGCAAATTTATTTTAATTGTACTACTTGGAATCAAGTTTCTGTTACTTGCAAGTGAAGGATTATTGATACATATAACATTTCTTTCTGTGTGAATAACTTTACTACACTACATATTGAAAGATAGCAAAATTAATAAGGGAAATATAAAATGTTCATACTCCCATCATCCCAGTTGGACTTGGGAGGCTGGGGCAAGAGGATTGAGAGTTTGAGGCCAAACTGGCCAAACTAGCAAAACAAAGTAAATGTTAGAAAGAAATAATGGAAAGAAAAGCTTTTTTACTGACTCATAAAAACTGCTTTAAAAACTGCTGGGTAAGCCACACTACTGTGAAGGAGAATTCACCTTTCTCATATATTTCTTAGCGCTGAAACAATGAGATCTTAAGATTTACTTTTTATTCTTCTTGTGATTGGGTCATGCTTTCTGTTTTAGTTTGTACTTCTCTCATTATTTGTACAGTTAAACATGTCATTACAGTGAAGAGATGTTTGTATTTTTTTCTACCAGTAACCTGTGATGTGTTTGGTGAAAGTTTTCTTATTGATTTATTGGCATAGTTACTACATTTTGTGTGGTTATCTTTAGTAATCTGTGCTAAGCATGTCTTCTCACTCTGACCTCTTTCTTTCTACTCATTCATTTTTGTTGAGTATAAGTTACATGCAATAAAATGTGCTCACTCAAAAAAAAAAGTGCTGGCTTTAAAAATCAATTTCTGAAACAATAAAAATTTTGATATAACTTAGGCATCTCTAAATTTTTAAGGAAAGATCACAATTATTTTAAGAAAAAACAGATTCAAAAATTCCCACCTTACTCTCCCAGCGCCCACACGCCCTGCACCCAGTGAGTGAGTGCTCCGGGAGCTACTGGTCCTCCACTTTGAGTCCATGCTTTGCTCACACCACCACGGTTCTCAGCTGAAACTCGCGGAGAGAGCCAGGTATTTCCCATCTACTTCCTGAGGGCAGAGTGGGCGACCCAGGACCCCGCCGCTATTACAAACTGAGTCTCTGCACTCCCTGCACCCGGGGCAGGGAGGAGGTCCTCACTCACAAGCCCCAGTGACTTCTCTGACGGGGGAGGGGTGTGTAGGCTCTCCCAGCGCCTGCACGCCCTGCGCCGAGTAAGCGAGTGCTCCGGGTGCTGCTGGTCCCACGGTTTGAGTACCTGCTTTGCTCACACCGCCACAGTTCCCAGCTGAAACTCGCGGAGAGAGCCAGGTATTTCCCATCTACTTCCTGAGGGCAGAGCAGGGGACCCAGGACCCCGCTGCTATTACAGACTGAGTCTCTGCCCTCCCTGCACTTGCAGCAGAGAGAAGGTCCTCCCTCAGAAGCCCCAGGGACATTTCTGGCTGGGGGCGGGGCGTGTAGCCTCTCCCAGCGCCCACACGCACTGTGCTCAGTGAGCGAGTGCTCCAGGAGCTGCTGGTCCCGTGGTTCGAGTCCCTGCTTTACTTTTGCCCAGACCCTAGTGGGTTGAAGGAATGGGCAGTCTGACTGCTACCCATCCAGCCTGCATCTGTTTCCTGTATGTGTCCTGAACTGACTGGAGACACAGAATCAGGTGGTTCACAAACTGTCGACCTGCAGTTTGTATCTGGATTTTGCCTATACCCTGAAATGCTTGGGGACATAGGTCCACAGAAACAGGATTGTCACACCAGTGCAACTGGAGTCTGGGCCGTGCACGTGCCCTGAACTACAAGAGGACACTGGATCAGATGGTTGGCTATCAGCTGACACCAATGCCCATGTCTGAGAACGGGGATACCTAGATACAAATCAAACACTGCCAGAAAACCCGAGACTAAGTAGTGCTTCTCAGAGATCACTCAGGGGCAAACCTGATCAACAGGAAAACTAGGGACGTTAGTGGCCTTTTCTGTGTAGCTACTGAAGAGGGAAACTGAGCTTTCTGCATCTGGTAGCAAACATGACGAAATGAAGGAGTAAAACACAATCCCACAACTCCACCACACTCAGAACAAGTCCAGGAGACATTGACACAGGAGAACTTGGTAAACACATGCCTGAAATAGCTGAAATGATTGCAATGGAAGTAAAAAAACAATTCCATAAGGCCATAGAAGAGATGAGATCAGAAATAATCTCTCAGGCAAAAAGTGAAATGACAATAATAATGAAGGAAAAGGTCCACTAAAAAGTCTGAAGAAGAAATATATAAGAAAATAGAAGAACAAAGGAAACCGTCAGAAGCGTTAAATGAAAAGTATAGAAAGGACTTAGAACACATGAACCAGATTCAAAGAGACTTCCAGGAAAACAAAGCTTCCACTGAAAGCTGCCAAAACCGCTTGAATGAAGCTGAAAATATAATCTCACACTTTGAAGACACTATGGTAGCTAGTGACCGAGAAAGAAAGGATCTCGTAAAATCAACAAGGATCCAGGAAAAGTCAATTCAACAGATGCAAGATGAGGCAAAGAGGAATAATGTACGACTTATAGTAGTCATTGAAACAGCAGGAAGCAACACAACTGACATAAAAAGATTATTTGCAGAAATAATAGCAGAAAATTTCACAAGTATGGAAACAGAACCTGATATATAGGTAAATGACCCATATAAAACTCCAACCAACCACAACCAAAATAAAACTAAACCCAGACATATAATAGTCAAGTTCCCAGATCTCCAGCAAAAGAACAGAACATTAAAAGCAGCTAGAGAAAAGAAAGAGCTTACCTATAAAGGAAAGCCCATCAGAATCACAGCAGACTTCTCAGCACAAACCATCCAATCGAGAATGGCTTGGAGCGAAGTATTACAGGTCCTCAGAAAAAACAGCTTCCAACCAAGACTGATGTACCCTGACAAACTATCTCTCAAATTCAATGGAGAAATAAAATATTTTACAACGAAGGACAATTGAAGAACTTCATGAGCGCCAAGCCAGCATTACAAAGAGTACTAAAAGATATTCTAGACAGAGAAAAATCTGACCACAATTTCAAGAACAAGAGAAGAAATGAAACGGCAAGAAGAGCAAGCAAGTAAACAGGTAGAAAAAGTGGGACACCTCTGCAAGTAAATAACTTGACAATGATAAATCAATACATATCAGTGATAACTATAAATATAAATGGCCACATACTCCAGTCAAAAGAAACAGACCGGCAGAGTGGATTAAAAAACAAAATCCAACGATATGCTGTATACAGGAAACACATTTTACTCAAAAGGGAATCCACAGATGAAAAGACACAGGATGGAAAACAATCCTCCATGCAACAGGAACCCAGAAAAAAGCAGAGGTAGCTATTCTGTTCCCAGACAATCTAAACTTCAAACCGACAAAAATCAAAAGAGATAAAGGTCACTACATACTAGTCAGGGGAAAACTGCAAGAGGATGAGACAACAATCATGAACATCTATGCACCAAATATCAGAGCTCCAAATTATATAAGACAAATCTTAACAGGCATGAAAACCCATATAATTAATAACAGTATTGTAACAGGGGACCTCAACACCCCATTGACACAAAGAGATAGGTCAAGTGGACAAAAAATCAGCAAGGAAATAACAGATCTGAACCAAAGCTGTTAACAAATGGACTTGGTATATGTATACAGAGTGTTTCACCCTACATCAGAGTACACATTTTTCTTAGCTGCACATGGGTCTTTCTCTAAAATAGACTGCATCTTAGCCCATAGAGCATACCTTCCAAAATGCAAAAGAACTGAAATTATCCCATGCATATTATCTGACCAAAGGGAAGTGAAATTGGAAATTAATGACAAAAGGAACTCCAAAACCTCCATAAACACTTGGAAATTAAACAACCTCCTGGACAACCAATGGGTCACAGAAGAAATTAAAGAGGAAATTAAAAAATACCTACAAACAAATGAAAAAGAAAATACAACTTACCAGAATCTATGGGATGCAATGAAAGTAGTCCTCAGAGGGAAATTTATAGCAGTGAATTCACACATGAGGAAAACAGAAAGAGAACAAATAAGAACCTTAATGCTACATCTCAAACTTTTAGAAAAAGAAGAACAAGGCCCAAAGCCCAAAGAAGGGAGGAGAGTATAAAGATTAGGGCAGAAATTAATGCAATTGAGACAAAGAAAACCCTCCAAAAAATAAATGAATCAAA